AAGCCTGCTTTAAAATGAGAAAGTTGTTGCCATTTTTGTGTGTGCTGCATTGTAGACAATTAATGTGGTAAAGAGCTGTGGAGTTCCTGATTTTCTTCCACTTTTGAGAATATTAAAAAAATTGTTGTGTTTTGGAAAATTTGATTTAAACTATTTTGGGGGGCAGGTTTACATGTGTATTTTTTTAGTTAGTGAGTAAAAATCCTTTAAAACAGTTGGTGTGGGAGGTCCTTCTGTCTGTTGCTTTTATTGGTTAATGAATAAAGAACTGCTTTGAGCCTATGGCAGGGAAGAACAGAACTAGGCAGGGAAAGCTAGGCTGTATGCTAAGAGAAAGAAGGGCGGAGTCAGAGAGAAGCCATTAGCCCTGCCAGAGCTGGATGGAACTTTACCACTGCCACGTGGTGATACACAAATTAATAGAAATGGGTTAAATTAATATGTAAGAGTTAGCCAATAAGAAGCTAGAGCTAATGGGCCAAGCAGTGATTTAATTAATACAGTTTCTGTGTGATTATTTTGGGGTTAAGCAGCCAGGAACAAACAAGCGACTTCCTTGCTACAAACAGTAATTATTTTAAATCTATTCATACATTTTTTAAAGTTTACTTTTTCTTATGTGAGATTATCTTGATTGAAATCATGACTGTAATAGGAAGAAGCTTTCAGTGACTATTCTGTAAGGGACTTAATTGGGCTTTGAAAGATGTTTTTGTAGGCTCTCGCATCTCAGATCCATGCCACACGTAACTACATTAGCCCACATGCTGTCAGAGGGCGTGTGCTCAGAGTGACAGGTGCCAAGGAAGTCTGTTAGTCTGTGTCTGATAGGTGGACCACATATTTGTTCCTACATCTCTAGAGAGAAACAAAGGAAAAACTTCTTGTACTCAGTTCCCTTAGGAAAATTCCTTGTAGTTTCCATTCATGTCTTAAGAACATAATTAAAACTTATTGATTATGTAGATTTTTAAAGAAGATAAACCCCATTGAGTGGAAAAGCAATAATGTGGTAGTGAATGGAAAAATCCAGTTCTTTGCTCATAATATTATAGTTAAATACACATCTAACATTTAATATATACGTGTAATGTATATTAAAATAGGAATTGATCGAATTACTTAATATATGCAGCTTTGAGGTTTTGTTTAATGTATTATCTATCCAAAATATAAAATAACCTTCAGGTTTAAGTATATATATATATATATATATATATATATATATCTTTTT